AAAAAAAAAAAGAATAAAAAGCAATAAATAAGCCCAAACTTTTGCTGCCCGCGTCGCCCTTACCTTCTTTCGCAGCCTGTGCCTCCCCCGTGCGTGCGAAGCGGAACAGCCAGACGGAACACCAAATAATCCAAGGCGGGAGCGCTCTCCGCAAAACCATGGTGCGGGCACGGGGCTGCCTTGTCTCGCTGCTTCGGGCTGCTCCTCGGCGCTGCCGCCGCTTGGCGGGTGCGAGAGGACGGTGGAGACTTGGCCGCGCTCGGCTCGGGCTCGGCGCTCCCTCCCTCCCGGCCGCCTTTTCTCCTCCTCCTCCTGCTCCCCGTCTCCTCCTCCTCCCGCCGCTGCCGGCGCCGCTGCCGGCTCCGCTCCGCGCCGCCTCTTCCACCGCCTGCGAGCCCCGACTGCGGCCGGGCCGCGCGCGCCGCGCGCCGCTAATACCAATCAGCGCCGGGGGGCGGCACCGCGGGCGGCGGGGCGGCACATCCCTCAGCGTGACCGACAGCGCCGCGCAGCCAATCGGCAGCGCCTCTCGAGCCGAGACGCCGCATGAGTCGCGGGGGCCTAAGGGGCGGGGCCGGCGGCGGCGACCAATGAGCGGGCGGTGGTGTCGGATTGCCGCTGGTGCCGAGGAGACCCCGGGCTGCGCGCGGCGCGGCGGCGGTTGAGCCGGAGCGGAGCGGGGAGGCGGCGGCGGCGGGACATCGGGACTGGGCTGTCCCGCGCAGCCCCCGCACGCTGCCCCGCACCCTCAAGGACCAGGGCAGTGCCCGGCTGCCCCCGGGTTGCCCCCGGGCTGTCCCCGGCGCCCGCGGGCGGCTGGAAGCGGCGGGAGCGCCCGGAGAAGAAGCGAGGGGGTCCCAGCCCGATCCCGGCGCTGCCCTGGGCCGGTGTCCGCGGCAGAGCGCGCCCACGGGCCGTGCGGAGTGGCGTCGTGGCGGCGAGCGGTGCTCCCGGGACGGTTCCTGCCCGAAAGTCAAGTTCCCGCAGACTTATACTCTTAAGAGATATCTTGCACGCGTTATTTTTTTTCTTTATTTTCTTTTTATATTCCCAAAATACTAGTTACTAATAAATGACTTATTTTTTTCTTGGTGGGAGGGGGTCGCTTTTTACCCGCGCCGCATGTAGCCGGGAACGAGGGTAATCCGCTAACAATGAGACAATTAAGGAGGAGAGAAGAAAAAGGAAGAAGGAGAGAGAAAGAAAGGAGAAGGAGAAAAAAAAAAAAAAAAAAAAAAGCCAAGGGAGTAACTTGTCCGACGTCTTTGTCAGCGCTCAGCCCTGCGGGCCGGGAGGGCGCTTGGCTTCCCCTGCGCACCCGCTGCGCCTCGCCCCCACCCCTCAATATTTATAAAACCCAGATCAACCTCGCGAATAACTCGCCGCTTTTGCGAGCGAGGCAGCGAAACTCGCGGCTCGCTCCGAGGAGGCGGCGCGGGGAGGAGCGCGGCGGCCCCGGGCGCTGCCCGCGGCCCCTCCGCGCCGCGGAGCCGGCCGAGCCTCCCGCTGGCCGCCTCGCTGCCGCTTTTCACTCGTTTCTCGCATCACTTTTTGTTTTCTTTTCGCTGCCCGAAAGCGCTTTTCTTTCGCGTGGAAGAAGCGCGGCGTGAGCGCTGGGACTGCCCGCGCCTGCGGAGCGCGGGATGTCACTGCGACCCGCGGGCAAGGACGGGGGGGAAAGGGCCTGGAAAAGGAAAAGCCTTGCGCAGAAGCCCGCACACATGCGGGAAATGCTGTGGCATGAAAGGAAATCTAAATGGTGCGGGGGAGATGGTATGTGATCCTTAGGTAGATACAGCAAAATTAGGATTTTTTTTTTTTAAACAATATACTCAGCATTGATAAGCAAATACTTCATTCCAGGCTTCTGGCACTTCCAGGCGGTTTCACTTCTGAGAGTGGCGTGGAGATGGTGTCTAAAAGTGTGCTGTGTTTGCCTCCCTTGCTGAATAACCAGCGCTACTGGTTAGAATATGCCTTTTTTTTTTTTTTTTTTTTTTGCCCCCATCACATTCAGAATAGCCTTTACATAGCCATAATGTCTGTAGGCAAATTCTGCCCTCTTGATTTCGTCATCCTTTCTCGTCTCTCATTCCCACTCTAACATATATATATCCAGAAAGGGGAACTGTGTAGAACTGAGTTTACTTGTTTTTATAAGGCTATTTTCACGTAAATACCTGCATGCAGGTAGCACGCAGCTTCCTTGCAAGTTCATGGGTAAAGCTAGTTTCTCAGTGGCATACTCAGGCAGACGTGGGAAGACCTTATCCTAGTCAGTCCTCTACAATTTCCTACCATAAAGTAGGAAATGTTACCACATTTCAATACAACACCACAACACCACTAAGCTAAAAAGACAATTATCAATGAGCTCTTTTTTTTTTTTTTTTAAGGATTTGAAGCAACCGAGATTTGGAATGAGTATGCCCATAAAAACATTAAGAAACTAATTAAATGAATGTAAAGGACGTAAATAGTAACAGCATGGGTCTATGTCCTGTGTATGGTGCTAAACAAACCACTTATTTTCACTGTCACTTGCTTTTACAATAATAATGCTACCCTATTGTGCAATCTTGTATGTGTATGTGTGTTTTTATAAGGATACTTATATGAGGTTATTAAAATTGCATGAAAATATTAACCATTAAAGAATATGTACATGTGGATGTATAGATTGTACAGGTTTCTGAAAAAAAAAACATTTTTCTCTTCCCAATCAATTCATTTTAAATACCCTGCCTTCCTGATAATTGTAAATTGAGCTAAAATGACAGTTTTGCAGTATCGCAGTTACACCAAAACACTGTAGCCAGATTAGGAGGACATATAGCATTTCTGTTCCTTTTTTTTTTTTCCTCTTTTCCTTCTTCACTTCCCACACATGGAATCTCTATGAAATAGACTCAGAAGTTGAAATCCTTTTTAGTTGAATTTGAATTTGTTTTTTTTTTCTTTGCTGCTGCAATGCTTTGTTTTTTTTTTTCTAATACTTTACAGGTTGTATCATCCTACAAAATACAGTATTGCATCTCATCCTGCGGAGTGTTGCTATTTATCTTCTGTGAAGAGAAACAGGAAAGAGATAATTTTACAGCTAAACCAAAATGCTCAAGGTAAATGCACTATAACCATCCATTTTGGCATCAAAATCTGAAGAAAAAAAAAAAAAAACAATTGGGACCCTCATTCCATTCAGTGTGCTATGATTCACGTTACACTATCAAATTAAACAGTTCAGTGGAACAATAGAATCAAAGATATTAATGTTGTTTTTGACTCTGTTCTGTTTTGTTTTTGCAGATAATCACTTTCTGCTTGCTGAAAATCTGAAGGCCAGATTCAGTCTGTATTTAAATTAGAATGTATTTCGAAGGACTTTCTTGACACTAGCTTCCCCCTGTATCTTCACCACGTAATTCAATCTGAATTTGCAAGTAGTATGTGGCAATTTCTAAGGTAGTACTACCATACGTAAGGAGCTGTGTGTGGTTTGGAAGTAGTTGATTTTTTTTTTTCCATAAAGCTCCCTTTTTTGCAGGATTCAGAAGTGCTTGCTTAACTATTGTGTACAAGGCTAACGCAGATTCAGAATAGTTTCGCATAGGTGTTGAAGGTTAACCTCAGACACGCTCTGTGAAATGATATTGAATCTTGTGCTTGTCTACACAGGAATGACCTTTAAGACCAGTTTTGAGTGAAAACTTATTTGAAGTGCATTTTAGAATGATGAGAGTAGAAAACACAATCAAGTAATAGGAAAAAAAAACCCAGATTGGTTAATTGCTTTCTTAATCCCAGTGTTAATGATACTCTACTTCAGTAATGCATATAATACAATCGTAATATTAATTTTTTAAATTTAATTTTTTCAATGTAATGGCATTTACCTACCAAATCCAGTCCAGATGTAATTTTCCTTAGTGAGTTAATTTCAGCTCTTTTCTCAGATTTGCAAGTCAAAATAGCTGTATTATAATGAAGAAAATGCACTCAGTAAATATTACAAGTTCACAAAGAAATTGTAGTGAATTGGGAATAGGTGACCTGAAAAGCGTGCTAACATTAAAAAGAAAAAATCCTTTCTTTAGTTGAAATCTGTGTAGATTTGTTTTTTAGCTATTTTAGCACAAATCAAAAATTGTGCTACAAAGCTTCACTCTTTAAAGCCTTCACATAGAACAGAATGGTGGTAATATTCAGATTATTGTCATTGTCAATTTTTGCCATGGTGAGTTTAAAGTGTGCTAAATAGATATCTGGATTCTTAAAAAAAATCTATAATTTTTCAATACATTGTCTAGAGCTGTCAAGAAAAAGGAGCAAGTAGTGTCATCTTGACATTTAATGGAAATGAAATTAATTCAGCTGCACAATAGAAATTATATTCATGTTAAATACATGTGTGAACATGACACACATTCTGCTTTTCCTGAGGAACAGTGGCAAAGAGTTCTACAGAGTCAAAAAAATATCTTACGTCGGGGTCCTGCAAGACTGTTTGAATCTGAAAAACTGAATCTGAAATGAAAACACAAGAAAAATAAGAGCCTTTAGAGCCTATACTGTGCCTGTATTGATCACTGTTCAGTGCCTGTTATTATATCTCAGTGTGGGATATATCTCCAGTATATCTGGAAGCCCCAGAAGGGGTGCCAGCATCCGAGCATAGCATCTGAAGTTATTCAAAAAAGAGGCAATTTCCTTTGCTGTGAATTAAAGGCATATCTTTGTATCTGCATGCTGCAAAAACTACCCATTCACATAACCATATGCTGACTTCAATACTTTATAAGCTTTGATGTTTTGTGTTTCTAGGAGGTTTGTTGTGTTAAAAAATGCATACAGAAAAGACTCATCAGAAGAGTAGCCAATTCTTGTTTCAGTTAATTGATAGTAAGTAGTAGATAAAATCTGGCAGTGTGCTCCAGCAAGGCTGGAAGGCCAACATCTTCCTGTTCTTCATCACTGCAAGTGACATCTGATCACTTCTATCTTTGACTCTCCTAGATTCTTATTTCTCTCAGCCAAGATGAAGTGAAAAATCAAACCCAGTAGTTTTCCTGTTTCCAGATACTGAATCCTCCTCCTACAGTCAGTCTCAGTTTCTTAATAGGTCTGAGAAAGAACATGAATGGAAGGAAAAAAAATACCCCTCAGCTCCATTCTATGTTGGGAGGTAAGGAGAAGGGAAAAGACAGAATAAAAGAGCAATTGTAAAAACCCTTATTTAG